CAATTTTAAAAATTAGTGTAATACCAGAAGATATATTTATTTATTAAATTTATTTGCCACCATCTCATCATAAAATGACTCTAGGCAGCTTACAGCATTAAAGCATTAAAATCCTAACAGATAAATATTTCTATAGCAATAAAAATGGAATTCCCAATCAAGATAAAATTATAGTTAAAAGAGGGGGAGGAACAGGATGCGTGAGGGGGGAGGGGGGATTGCCCCTTAATTCAACAACTACCTCCAGTGTGAGGCTCCCCATTGGGATCCCCTTGATTTTGAGCCAGATTTCGCCTAATCTGTATTTGAACTTTTGGCTTTTTCCTGCCGAAGTGTAAAACTTTGCTTTTCTCCACATTAAATTTCATTTTCTTGGACAGGGTCCCTTGTTCAAGTCTGTCCAGATCTTTTTGGATCCTGTTTTTTCTGGGTAGGGGAAACTTTGGACCGTGGAAAGAGAAGGAAGCTCATAGGACTGATGGGAAGGAGAGGAATATATTCCTTCCCTTTTGCATGTTGAATTGTCATCATTGAAGAATTTCAAACTTTTTAAGAGTACTTTATTTTTTAACCTTATTTTTTATACATTTTTATTTAGGGGTGATGTTATATCCTATGCCATCCAGATCCCTGCTTTGAGGGAGGTGAAAGGATTAGGAGTATCCATAAATAGCAATAAATACCAATGAGTAAATTTTGTAGATCGGAGAGCACAGAATAAATAAGGGGAAAATCTTTATCCGGGAGAGTCCTAATGAATGAAATGAAAGGGGGGGGGTCCCTGCATTTGCCCCCCCCCCCATGGAACGCCTCCTCCTGCACTCACCTCTCCGGCCAATCATGGGGCTGCCCTGGAAAGCCTCGTAGTTGTTTTGGCAGAAGCGATTCACTTTGGCCTTCCGGTACTGTAGCTTGTGCTTATCCCTGTTCCAAGCCTGGGCAGTCACCTTCCCCAACGCCGTGACGGCCTCGAACTCCCCGCGGTCGCTGTCGAAGCGGAGATACTCCTGCCGGTCGTAGATGTAGCGCTGCAGGTATCGCACCCGCCGCGTCCCGTTGAGGAAACGGCACTCGCACTTCCCCTGGTACAGGAAATGGACTGTGGGGGGGAGGGGGAGGAGGAGGAGGAGGAAAGGCGTCAGGAGGGACTCCAGGTCCCATAGCTCCCTGTGGAGATTAACCAAAGCTACCTCATGTTTAATTAGTATTTTGACTTTGTGTATTGTATAAGTACGTGCAGACTGCCTTGGCAGTTGGAACACGTACGAAGTACAAATAAATGTTATCTGTGTCTGTGTCTAGTAAATAGCTAACCAGAAGGTTGTTATTTCCTCCTTGAGAGCAAGGTCTTTGTGTAAAATTTCAATAAAAGAGAGCTTACGAAGCTACTCGAAGTTCTCACTCTTGCAGACAGCCCTGTGTCTTGTGTTTCATGGGAACCGGATCACTACAAGTGGTGACCCCGACGTGATCGCTCTGAAAGCGGTACGTCCCTGGACTCTATTACTCAATCGCCTGGAAGAGGTTCAACGCGTTTCATCAGATCTTTGCTGGGAAAAGACTGATTCTTTCGTGAGTAATGGGGGGAGATCTTTCTAAAGTG